CATAGTTAAGATTAACCATGGTTTGTTGGATTCAGATGATAGGACATCCTACCTCTGATGAAAAACCACAGCATAAGATCCTGAGCTACTCCTGATTGTGTCTCAGGAGGCAGGGAGAGGCACATGTATCTCAGGTGCACTGCAGTTCCTTTTCATAATGCTAAATTATGATTCAAAATGATTTTTTTCCTGATAAACATTGCTAACGATTCTCTCTGCCAGCATAAGTCTCTTATTCTTCTCCTTTAGGCAGAGCTTGTTGTGAAGGAGACATAGGACCCATTAAAAAAAAGTATTACTACGTATGCCATCTTTTTTCCTCTTGCAAGGAATTCAGTGGAGTTTGCGTAATCCTCTTTCTCTCTTTCTTTTATCCTTATAACAACAATTCTGTGAGGTAGGCGAGTAAGTTACCCAGGGAGCAGTGTGGCCAAGTAGGACTAGAACCCAGGTCTCCCAAGTCTTAGTCTTGTGTTCTAACTACTACACCATTTCCTTCATATTGGTGCCTAATTTTGCGATGCAATGGCAGGTAGGCTTAAGAACATCTTTCATGTTGCATGTGAGTATAGCGGAGTCATGCAATTTTTTATTAGAAATTTGCCAGGCAAGAATAAAATTTTCAGAGATAATTCAGAGTGAGACCACATACTGGACCTTTAACAATTTATATATAAAATGTATGTAACTCCTTTAACTTGCTTTGTAGTTTGCCTCATCCCAAAAACTCAGGTAGGCAACAGAAGACAAACACAGCTGAGCAAAATAACATAACGTGTTCTGACATTTTCCCTAATCCCTTTGTTATGTGTACTCCAAAAATAAAGGACCTGAACTGGCAACTCCATATCAGATTTGTAGAGTGTTGTGTGTGTGGAGTTGATTTTGTTAGGGATAGAATCTGAATGCAGATTCTGTCTTGCTTTGAAGAATGCAGATTCAAAATGAATGTTTAAGTGCTTTTTAGGTGTTTTATAAATAATATATGTTAATGATGAATTTTGTGTTAATCTTTTGTGGATTGCAGAATCAGGCCAACTGGTGTTCTCTGTTCAAAGTGCTCCATGCAGTATTTTATCTAGAAATGGGAGCTTCTTAGCTATCCCTTTCCAGAAGTAGTCCCTAAATGAGCAGAGAGACTTCTGGAACACCGTCTTACGAGTCATGAGAGGAGCCACTGAAAAGAAAAATTGGCAAGCCACTCCTCACATATGGAAACACTTTGCATGCACCTGTGAACTACAAAAAAATTGAACCCCAAGTGTGGGACATAGCTGTTTTTCAAGAACCCCTGTTCCAAAGCCCCACTGAACTTGTATGGCTGGGCTGATAGCCTAGTTTTCTGGATTTCATAACTTTCTACTCAACAAGCTTACCAATGACACAATGCCTTAATTTTCTAAGAAGATCAATTACATTTAATCTGGAGATAATCATAAGCAACCAGTAGGGTATTCTCCTTTGTCAAGGAATAAGGCTGTTCAGTAGCCCTGCACTGCTTTGAAGAATTAATGTTCAGTACTGAAAAGTGTTGTTTGAATGTGCTTTGCAATGCCTTCAACATATATAAAAACAGGTCTTCTGTTCCTAGGAATTTTTTTCTAAGAAGTCTGACTGTTCTTTATTCCTGTTTGGATCACATAATAAGAAGAGACCCAGTAACCTTATAATAGGTAACATTGTTTTTTATGGGTTGGAAGAAATGGTTCAGAAATGAGATTTCTTTAAAGTGGGAATGGAAAGATCTGTAGCCTTCTATTAGACTCCTGAAAGCTTGGCCTTGAATTTTAATTTTCTTTACACATAAGTTCAGGGCCAAGCATAGGCAATAGGTTTGAATGGTTAAGAAAGAAGAATTAGGTTTTTATGTGTCATCATTTTAAGCACATCTCATTGTTGTGCCATGGATTAACTCTGCTAGGACTCTTGGCTTTTAGTCTTGCCTTTTCTGTGTGTTGATCCAGCACCTGAACAGGATGTGGCCTGTGACATCCAGACATGGCTAGAGCATTACATTGCCAAGGGGGAGAGAGTGTTCCCCAACTCCTTGGCGCACTTACTGCCCTCATTCTTTCCCCGCAGTTTCAGTGCATTTGAATTATGCTACTGGGTCCATCCTCTCTTGCTATTATTTCTCTCCTGGACATTCACAAATTCCTCTACCTGCAGCTTCCTCTTGTCAGTTTCCTTGTCTGTTACCTGTTCCCCTTCTGACCCCCATTCACAGCTGCAACATCAAGGACATTAACCAGGAAAGACTGTGCTTATCAGACAGGGAAAAGTGCATACTTGTGACATGTGAGGGGGTGATCATAATGTTTTAATTATATGCACATTTGCATATTCCCGAAGCAATGTTTTGTTTTATTTTTTAAAGTGGTGAATGAGAAGGAATAGCAATTGGAGCAGAAAGAGGGATAGGGCAACGAGATAAGGCGGGTTCTGGCACAAAGTCCCTGGGGATACTTGCCCAGAAGGACTGAGGATGAGAACTAGCCATGGCAAACCCAGTCATCTGTCCAGCATACCAGCAAACAAGCCTCTCTGGCTTTTTTTGATTTGTGAGCACACCAGTCTGTGTGACACATGAGTCAGGTTTCCATCAGTTGAATGCTTGGAGGCTTGGGGAAAGCAGGAGCCAAGCCAGCCAGCACTGTGACTCTTGTATCTCCCCACAGTTGCCACACTTCTGGCCCATGCCATTCCCTGGAAGAATCTTTGCGGAAGGGAGTCTTCCCCCAAACAGGAGAGAGTCCCATAGCAGGGGGCCAAGGCACAGTGGGCGGATCCCAGAGCCCTGCTCTTGGGCCAGAGAAGCAATGGGAAGGAAGGTTCCTGGGCGGGAGGCAGGTGCTCACCAGTGTGTTGGCAAGTGTCTGCGCCCCTCATCCCCAGTGCAGACGTATGTGGCTTATAAGATGAGGGAGTCGATGCAGTCAGCTCTTACTTGGCCAGTGTAGCCATATGCATATGTTTTCTAAATGTACTTTAAATTGTGCTTATTAGTGGTAACCCTGCTGGACATGTGTTTCCCAAACGGCAGTTCTGTGTCGAACATGCCTGATCAAGGACAAACTGGTTTATTTTGTAATCAATTTTGGTAGGTCGCATGTACGATTATCATGTTCTGGATATGGTTGAACTGGGCGTTGAGAAGTTTGTAGCACTCAAAGAAATCAAGGTAAGATGCTGTTGAACATCCAAAGTTTATCAGTGGAAATATTTATTAATTGGTAGTTGCATAGCTTAAAACATCTGGCTGGGAGGAGAGACTATCACCAGAAGTCCTTCTCATGAGGCATGGTTTATTCATTCAGTCAATTTTTCTATAGGGCCCTTCTATTCAAGATCTCCAGGGCATTTCATCAAAGAAAAAATGCAACAGAAACAGTAAAAGAGAACAATAAATCACAGCAGGAATCACAGCAGAATTGAAGGCCTGGGAAAATAACATGGTCTTTGCATGCCATCCATATGCACAAGCTTAACACACTGCAACTTGCATTACAGCACATCAGGAGGGCTTCAGGTTGGAGAAGGCTGAGCTGAGTACATGTATTGTGCCTCAAGAGCACACTAGGAAAAAGCATCCCTGTTAGTGGACCCCATAGCAGGATCCTCTACAGTAGTCTTGGTTTGCTTTTATCATGATAAAAACTTGCTGCTGCAAATATAAGCCATGGATGAATTCTTAAGACTCTTATTTTGTACATGAAATCTCATCCTTCCAATTAAAAATGAGAATAATTCAGAATTCTTTTAAAATCAAAATGGGAAAAACTTGTGAGGAGACTGTGGCAAACCTTAATTCACCTTGTACATCATCCTTATGGCAAAGACCAAGCTGCTATTGAAATACTAATTCTGAGCCAAAGCTGTAGCAAATCAGACAACAGGTGAAGGATCACCTGACTTAATGCTCATCCAGATATAAAAAATTAGTTGGGAAAGGGGAGGTGGATCTAGAATTCTCTCTGCCATCTAGTTTTGGGGTAGAGAAATTGCTTTTCTATATAGAAGAGTATTCAGTTATGCTAGCTTTCGGTCTGACATGGGACCATTTGTGTATACGTTCTTCAAAGCAGAAAATGACCTAATTCTATGGGTAGATGACTTTTTGCATAGCTCCCACATTTCAGAACAGGTGACTTGCGGGGAAAAAAAACTTGGAAAATGCAACTAGTTGTCATTAGGGATCCATAGATTAGAGTATATAACTCAAATCTTTTTCTATCAGCATGAATGGTCTGCTTGTTTCTGGGCTCAGGTTAAAGAGTTTGATAACCTTTATTCAAAAATGGCCTGCTGCCTGGCCCTTGTGATCTGCACTGGAGGCCTTGCTATCTGTTCCTTGCCTACAGAAGGAAATAAATACAAGAGACACAGGACCTTTTTGGTGGCAGCACCAAGATAGTGGACATCTGCTGAGCATCCTTGTTTTTGAGGGGTTGGTGAAAATGTTTTTAGCTACCATTTGGAGTGTGATCTCTTTTGGTCTGCTGCTTCTGAATAACCTGTTGGTGTGTTTTCTGTTTTATTTTTTAATTGATTTTTATGCATACACCTTTATATACTGCTGAATATTAAAATATTACAGGGTTGTACAACATTAAAATCACAGCAGTCATGTGGAATAAAGACTAGACAGTCACATAATCAGTATACATAGCTGTGTTTTATTACAGTGAAAGCCCAAGAGAAAAGATACATTTTAAGCAGACAGCAAAACTGCAGCACATTCTGTGACTGTGTAATATTAATGGATAGGGAGTTCTACAGGTCAGAAGATGCAACATTAAAAGTTCTGTTCTCGGTAGCCATAAGGCGGACCTGCCAAGTACGTGGCACCACTGAGACTGCCTCTCCTGACAACCACAGTGACCAGACAGGGGGGTACAGAGTCAGATGATCCTTGGGAAAAATAATCTATTTGATTGCATTTGCAAGCTTCTTTTCTATTTAAACCATCCCAAAGTGAGCTGTGCATAAATGAATTTTAGAGGCAGGGAATGGTTTTAGAAATCTAACATATTTTAGGTGCCTTGATTTAATCTAACACCTAGTTTATCAAAAAGCACAGGGAGTGTACAGCTCTGTTTTCCCCCACCAAATCCAAGTACATTGCTATAAACTTTTTCATGATTTAGCGAAATGTGCAGCAAGATTTCTAGTGAGTACTGTGGGGGATTTTTCACATTACTCCTTCTCCCATAACTCATAGGAAATGGCTTTTGAAATGTTATTGCAGGGTTATGGAATGTATCTGTGATGGAACAGACAGGACAGAAGCAGCGCTATACAGTTGTGCCGGAAACTTGAAGCTACTTCCTGCACAGGATCATGTCCAGCATCTGATATGAGCAGGAGCTTTAGTTCTGGCCAACTGTGGTAGATTGCTGTTGTTTTGATTGGCATAATCAGCTGTCCTACTTGTTCGAGGAGTTCCTAAGTAGTGGAGCATTCATTTTTTGGCTGCTATGGCCAGTCACTCACTGGGCAGTTGTTGGAAAAATTAGGACTGCCACTTGATTTAAAGCAGTCTTAATTGAGTCATTAAATGAGTGTTATATATGAATAAAAGAATCGCTTTGTTCTTTATTTTAGATGATGCACATGTAAGGAGCACCATTCTAGAAACTTTCTTCTGACATAGTGCTTGCTATTTGCAGTTTTTCTAAGTAATTATATTAAAAACAACCTTTAAAAATTACCCAGTTATTTGAGGTGCCTGTCTCAACTGATTTCAGATAACTTAAATTGATTATAGGCTGTGGAGATGTATAGAAATGCAATAAATAAATAATAATCTAGTTGATCAGTTAAGGATTGCAGCCATAATTGCAAGGAAACCATCAGCTTCCCATAGCACTTAGATTATACCAATCGAGAACTATTTCTTTCTTGGCTTACTTAGGACGCAATGAAAAAGAGGTGAATAGAGAACAGTATTTTACAAATTAGTGCTTCTTTGAGTATGCTGCAGCCCTTGATTCATTCATAGGAAGGGCTCCTGCCGGCACCATTATGTTTTGAGTGCCCTTCTTGGTGCCCACTGAGGTGCCTACCTGCCCTCTATTTATTTATTTAACAAATGTTCGTACTAACAAAGAAAGTAATGGCCTGTCGTTACCAGATTTGGGGCACAGAGGCATTCTTAGGAAATGAAGGAGGCAAGAGGCTGCTTTCCCCCACGGTGTATCCATTTTTGGTGGTTCCCAGAGCTTTTCCTCAATTTGTCAAGGCCCCCACAGGCCCCAAAAAGTTGCTGACCCTTTTCCCATGTGAGAGCAGAGGTTACTTAACACGGTGGACCAACCTGGAGCACACTTTCAGTATTTAATCATTTTTCCCAACAGAAGGATATATCTTAATCCTTTTTTTTTTTTTTACCATGCCTGAGGCACTTGTTCACATAGAACAGAAGGCACAAAATATTAGGTAACAAAAACCTATTAAACCAAAAGTTGCATTAAGAGCAAAAAACCCCAAACACTGTACAGGATCCTTTATTACATAAGCTAACAATGTATTAAAATGCACAAATAATAAAAATGGTAATACAGCCTATATTGTGAATACATGTCATGTCTTTTGGAGGCTTCCTTGGTGCCCTAATCTGCAGCGCACTCTAGCATATGCAGATGCCCATGTGGAATATATACATTCCCAGCCCCAGGGGCTTTGCTCCTGGACTGCTGAGCCCAAGAGTGGCCGGTGGCACAGGGCTGGCAGGAGGGACGGGTGTTGTGCAGGTCTGCGTAAGCCCCTCCCACTTGCAGTTCTGAGCAGCTGGTTCACCATCCCTGTGGTGGACCAGGTGGGGCTTCTTCAGTGCAGATCAACAAGTAAAATATGTGGGGTGTAAAAATGGCCACGTGTCCCTCTTACTTGCATGGGAAAGTAATGTAATTGCCACTGAGACACTGCCCAAGATGAAGTCTTTCTTCTCACACTTCCCTTACTCATTTTCTCTTTTAAAATATATGATAGAACAGCAAGTGTCCTGAAGGAACGAAGCCCATGCTGATATTTGCAGGCGATGCTTTTGATATCAGTGAAGAACACAGAAGATTAAAAAGTCTTCTAATTGGTAAGCCTTTTTTTGCAGAGGAACATTTGCGGCCTTCTTCATCTTTGGCTGGGAATTTAGTCATTTCCTGGCAGGACTAGATTGCTGAAATATTTGTTGTCATGTGAAATGAGTACCTTTTACATTAAGTGCTTTTTTCATTACACGTTCAGTCTTCTAGTCCAGAGGACTGTGTCTCATTTTGGTTCTTGCTGGTATGCATGTGGGAGGAAATTGATATATCTGCCCTAAGATGAATGAATAGATTAGCGGACAGAAATAGATTTGACCCTAAGAGAAAGGACAGGGTCCACTGGATAGTCTGGAAACACCAGATGCTGTAGTGTTGCCGCAGTGCTGACGTTGATCAGCAGTCTGGATGGGAGCACCGTATCAAAGTCAGCGTGTGCATATGTATGTGTAACTTCAAAAAAATAAAAAAAAATGTTTTTGATTAATGAAACCAAGACAACATGACAATGGCTGGCTGAGTGGGGAGATGCAAGCCAGTATCTCCCCATAGGTCTTCCCCACCATCCTAGCTAGACAAAAATGAAATGGGAAATATGTATCTGCCTCCCTTTACACAGACTTTGGGAGACCTTGAGGGATGTACAAACTTGACTCACTTCTCCTCTACCATATCCATGTTTCCATTACCATTATTCTTGGGGCTTTTAATGCAGTGCTCATGTTGTGTATATGTGCAATTTGATCCAAAAATGTGGGAGAAATGTCCACTGGAGCATCATTGCCTGCTAACATTCCGAAAGAAAAGTCTTGCTTCCTCATCAGTGAACTCTAGTCAAATACAAACTGAAGAAAATTGTTGAATGTATGCTATTCAGTGAAATATGATGGCAAAGCAACAGGTAGAGCTTGCAATCTGCTAGGGAATGATGGAAGGATCATAAGGCAATGCCCGCTGGATTTTCTGTACATGGGCCTGCTGTGGAACTGCTGCACTGAAGAAAAAAATCTTTTGGCTACCTGCTAAAAGATAATGGCTTAAAAATAGTAATTGCCCTTTAAATATGGTATTTTGCTGCAAGCCCTGGGAAATAGCTGACCCTGAATAAACTCTGTTGCCAGATCTGTGTGATGACATCTCTGTTCTTAGTCAACAGCTACATTTCGATGGGCTTGCGGGCCATAAGCTGTTGTTTGCCCTTTTGAGTGAGTCATGCATTACTGCTGTTGAAAGAACACGGGACTGGGAAAACATGGTCATAAGTGTTGCAGTGGAATAGAAGGCGGGATCTAGCTTTTTAAAAAGAGTATCATCTGTGTGCATAGTGGCTTAGAAATGTTATGTAGCTAGTATTTCCCTAAGCTTGTAGAATTCAGACAAAATGGCATTTTTGCAATTATAGGACCATTGCAATAATTATATATGCAAACAAATGATATTCAATGTCTTACAACAAAGAATTTTCCACTGTATAGAATGAGAAATGCCTGACATTCAAGGTGGTTTCCAAAAAAGAAGAGGCATTAGAGATCTTTTTGTTTTTTTTCTTTGCTTGCAGTTTGTATTACAGATCTGGTCTGACAGTTTAAAAATCTTTGCCAACTCATTGGTTCTTCACTCCCTCCCTCCCACCCATCCCAACACACACACAGCATGGGCAACATTCCTCTAAAATACCCTAAATCATAAATAAAATGTGCAGTTGTAAGGCTTGTTTGATCAGGAAAAAACAAAAAGATGCACCAATCCATTAAAAACAAAATTCCATTGTGAAATCATTGCTTTTTTCTTTGTCTCAGGCAAATAGCCATCTCTTTCACATTCACACACACAGTTATTTTAGAGGGAGGACATCTTGGCGACTGGCTTCCCTAAGGAGGCCTGTCTGCCTGTCTGCTTGCGTGATCATGGAGTGAAAAACAAACCACTGTGGGTTATTTCTGTTGCTGTACACACCATGTATCATCCACACCTTGCTCTGTCATACGAATCATGACCGGGGTGTGTTGCTGGGATTAACAAGTCATTCCAGAACCCTGCAACAGCCCATAGGTTCTGTGTGGTTTGTTACTAAAGCTAGAAGCCACTTTTGCCAGGGTCACAAAATGTGACGAGCTGCGCCAGCAAGGGTAGTAGCGTAAATCCAACCCATGCTCAGTGGAAGAAATAAGCCATCCTAGCTTTTTTTCCCTTCTCCCTCTTTGGTAAACCTTTTCCTGGCCTAGTTTTCATGGCATGAGGCACCCCACAATTTCTGGTCATTTGCCAGATCATTTTCCCAGTTACTCTTGCTGGATGTGATTACCTGTGTCATCAGAACCCAACAAGGTGGTTCGTTCTAGTATTTAACAAACCACACAGGATGCATGGCCTATTGTAGGATTGTGGGGTGGTTTGTTAATCATCCCAAGAGGCTACATTGCCAGGTTTGGTCAACGAGAAGCTGTGGCAGGGAAATTGGAGCCTATGGGCACCACAATACACCATTCCTACAGTGGGCTCTAGAGATCATTCAATCAACTCTCATTCTTTTCTCTTTCTTTCTCTGGTCACCAGAGAAAAAACTTTTAAAGCTTCCCAAAGGTAAGCCAAGTTTTACAATATATTCTGCCTTAAAAGTGTCCCACTTGCTGCTGAAACTTCACTCTTTGAGGGACAAAATGTTTGGGCTGTTACAGCCCAGTGATTTTAAAAGAGTGTGGTGGTGTTCCAGCAGAGTTTGCTGTGGCATTTCTGGTTGCCTCCAGAAATGGCTCCTTCTCTTTTTTCCTCCTCTTAGATTTCTTCAGAGGCCCTGTTGTGCCCAGTATTCGTCTGGCAGGTTTAGAACATGTTCTTCATTTCACAGCTGTGGATGATAAAATCTACATGAGAAGTTACAAGTAAGTCTCTGTAGTAGTTGGTTGTGTGCCACTATCTGCAGTAGTAATATGCTTACTCAAGAAGAAATTGTGAGAAGTACTTATTTTTATTTATTTATTAAAACATTTCTATGCCGCCCCTTGCCAAGGCCTCGGGGCGGCTTACAACATCAAACACAAAATACATTAAAACAATAACAATTAAAATATATACAGTAAAATAAAATAAGCCGCCCTGGCCGAATAAAATTCAATAATATTAACATTTAAAATGCTGCTTAAATAAAAAGGTCTTCGCCTGGCGCCGAAAAACAAATAACGATGGTGCCAGGCGGACCTCTCTGGGGAGCGCATTCCATAACTTAGGCGCCACCGCTGAGAAAGCCCTCCTTCGAGTAGCCACCCTCCTAATTTCCTTCACTGAGGGCTCCCGGAGGAGGGCCTCTCCTGCTGATCTCAAGGGGCGGCTGGGCATATATGGACGTAAGCGCTCCTTCAGGTAACCAGGACCCAAGCCGTTTAGGGCTTTATAGGTCATCACCAACACCTTGAATTGGGCCCGGACTTCAATGGGAAGCCAGTGAAGCTGACGGAGAACTGGAGTCATGTGAGCATAACGTCCAGTTCCCGTCAGCAACCTGGCAGCTCTGTTTTGAACCAACTGAAGTATCCGGACTGTCTTCAAGGGCAGCCCCACGTAGAGCGCGTTACAGAAGTCAAGATGGGAAGTCACTAATGCATGAGTCACTGTTGCGAGGCTGTCGTACTCCAGATAGGGACGCAGCTGATGAATCAGCCGAAGCTGGAGGAAAGCGCTCCTCGCCGCTGCTGTTACCTGAGCTTCGAGTGAAAGCTCCGGGTCGAGGAGCACTCCCAAGCTGCGGACCTTGTCCCTGGGAGGGAGTGCAACCCCGTTCAGGACAAGGTTCAATTCACCTTCTCCGAAGCCCGAACCGCCAACCAACAGGACCTCCGTCTTGCCTGGATTGAGCTTCAGTTTATTGGCCCTCATCCAGCCCATTACCTCGGCCAGGCACCGGTTCAGTACAGCCACTGCCTCACCTGGATTGGTGGAAAACGAGAGGTAGAGCTGGGTATCATCAGCGTACTGGTGATTCCGCAGCCCACACCTCCTGATGACCTCTCCCAGCGGTTTCATGTAGATGTTAAACACAAGGGGGACAAAATGGACCCCTGCGGTACTCCATGGCATAGCTGCCATGGTGCAGAGCCATAGTCCCCCAGCACCACCTTCTGGAATCGGCCATTGAGATAGGAGCGGAACCACTGCAAAGCAGTGCCTCCAACCCCCAATCCCGCAAGCCTATCCAGAAGGATACCATGGTCGATGGTATCAAAAGCCGCTGAGAGGTCCAGGAGAACCAACAGGGATGCACTCCCCCTGTCCTTCTCCCTGCACAGGTCATCGTACAGGGCGACCAAGGCAGATTCAGTACCGTACCCGGGTCTGAAGCCGGACTGAAATGGGTCCAGATAATCCGTTTCATCCAAGAGTGCTTGGAGTTGTCCCGCCGCCACCCGCTCTAACACCTTGCCCAGCAACAGGATGTTGGTCACTGGTCTATAGTTAGTGGCCATCTCTAGATCCAGTGATGCTCTCTTCAGGACCGGTCGGACTACCGCCTCCTTTAAAGGGGCAGGCACCCGACCCTCCCTCAGAGAAGCGTTAACCACTTCCAAGATCCAGGTTCCAATCCTGTGCTTGGAATCCTTTATTAACCAAGACGGGCAAGGGTCCAAAAGGCAAGTGGTGGGACGTACTCGCCCAAGCACCTTGTCCACATCATCGGGCCTCAGTAACTGAAATTCATCCAATAATTCTGGACCAGACGGTAGCATCGGTGTCTCCCTTAAGACCTCTGACTCAATAGTGGAATCCAGCTCGTGACGAATCTGAGCGATTTTCTCCCTGAAATGCCTGGCAAAGTCGTCACAGCGGGCCTTTGAGGGTGGAATCAGATCTTCTTTCGGACCTGGACAGACCAGGCCTTGCACCACTCAAAAGAGCTCCGCTGGACGGCATTGTGAGGAGGCAATGGAAGCGGAAAAAAATCTCTTTTTCGCCGCCCTCACCGCCACAGCATAGGCCCGATAGTGGGCTCTTAAATGTGTTCGGTCAGATTCATCCCGTGATTTCCTCCACCTACACTCTAGCTGTCTCCCAACCTGCTTCATCGCCCTCAGTTCAGGAGTATACCAAGGGGAAGAGCGGGCTCTGCCCGGTGGGAGAGGGCGCTTAGGAGCGATCGTGTCTACAGCCCTGGTCATCTCCCCGTTCCACAGTTCGACCAGAGCCTCGACAGGAGCACCCGTCTTGTCAGCCGGAAACTCCCCCAGAGCCTTCAGGAATCCTTCCGGATCCATCCGGCTCCGGGGGCGGACCCACACAATCGGGTCCGCACCCTTACAGAGGGAGAGGTCACTCTCGAGCACAAACCTCACCAGGAAGTGATCTGACCATGACAGGGGAGTCAAGCATAAATTTGCCACCCTCAGACCACCCTCTTCCTGCCCCGTCGAGAAAACCAGGTCCAGAGTGTGTCCACGTTCATGGGTCGGGCTGGTGACATGTTGAGACAGCCCCATGGCCGTCATGGAGGCCATGAAGTCCTGAGCCGCCCCGGTCAGACTAGCCTCGGCATGGAGATTGAAGTCCCCCAGGACCAACATCCTGGGGGTCCTCAACACCAGGTCCGAGACCGTCTCCGTCAGCTCAGGTAGGGAGACTGTTGGGCAGAAGGGTGCACGGTACACCAACAGAATCCCCAGTCTGTCTCAGTCGCCCAACACCAAGTAGAGACACTCCAGCCCTGGTCTCGAAGGGACAGGAAGTCCCGTGAGGGAGATGGAGGCTCGGTAAACTAAAGCAACCCCCCCTCCCCTCCCCTCCGGCCGTGAACGGTGCTGAACCAGATACCTGGGCGGGCACATTTGAGAGAGGGCGACATCCCCCCCCCTCCCGCCCAGGTCTCCGTTATGCAGGCCAGGTCGGCCCCCTCATCCACAATCAAGTCATGGATGAGGGCAGATTTGTTATTGACCGACCTGGCATTAAGCAACAGCACCGTCAGGCCCGAGGGACGACTGACAAGACTCCCTGGCACCCTCTGGCTGGGAGCAAAACCAGAAGTAGGGACAGGTGTCAACCATCTGTCCCTCCTTCTTCTATGCGGACACGTTAAGCTCCCACTGCAGTTACGTCCTCTGCCCATCACCACCCCAATGGCCGCGCCGGTGCGCTCCCCAGGAAATGCAAGCGGCAGCATGGCCAGGGACGACTCCATAAAACAATATAAACACTATAAAATTATAAAAACATTTAAAAAATTCAGCGCTCAGCAGGAGGGCCTAACATGACGAGAGTGAGAGCCCCCTGACCAGCCCAGCCCAGCCGGCCCCCCGAACGGCCCCCCCAAACGGCGGCGACCGCCCTAGGATGTGAATGTATTAACATATTTTTTTCCTTCTAAGCAATTCAGATAAAAGAATTGTAGAGTTGAGGGCAAACACCAGAGATGAGTCATGATCATAAACATTTATCAGCTCTTATTAATACCAGATTGTATAATACATGGCTCAACCAGGCAGATCAGTTTTAATGATAGTTCAGCTTGGCAGAGGAAAATACTCTAAATCAGGTATATATGCTAACCAGATATCCAAATATCCTGGGGCCTGCTGCTACTTACAGGGTCTGTACACAAATATAGAAGAGGCAGTAAGGTCCTTGATGGCTGGAGAATTGAGGGTGTTGATTTTCATTACTCAAAATGGTGGGGGGGCAACATTTTTTGGTATCATAAGTGCTCTCAAAATCCATGTTGGTTGAGCACAGCAAAGCCTCTAACAAGCAGTAGAGCAAAGGGATTGGTTATACAGCTTTAAGTTTGTGATGGAGAGCAGGTTTATAGTCTAGCCCTGTCCACAGTGCTATTTAACTTCTGCAAAGTAATTAGCGGCTTGCCCCAACCTGACAGATATCCCATTCAGTGCAAATTGCACAGGGCCTTTGTTATGATGCACCTTTGCCCCTTAATTTGGGCTTTTGAATACTCATTAAGACAACCAAATGCGAGAGTTACTTCTTTGTCTCCACCCCCCCCCCCCCCCCGCTTTATTTTTAAGAGTATTGTTGAAAAAGTCTGGTTGCAAAATACCAAGGATTGAACTTGAAGATATGGGGCCCTCACTAGACTTGGTGATCAGGAGGACACATTTGGCATCAGATGATCTTTATAAGTTGTCTCTAAAGCAGCCTAAAGCCCTCAAGGTATGCAAGCAAATCTCAAAGCTTCTCCATAAGAAAAGTGTGTAGATAATTTTCCAAATTCTCAAATGTCAGTATATAAAATCTATTTTCCCAAGCCCTGTTAACAAGCTATACAGTCCCTTCAGTTGATCCAGTAGTTTAAGCAATGTCCTATTTTTCCCACTGCCTTTATGATCAAACTTATCATACAAATATGCTTTGGATCTGTTTGAGATCAGTTGGACCCCAGTTAAATCTGGTTCTTTTTCATGGGCTCTGCACCAGCATGGAGCCTGTTGCAGGAAGATTCTACAGCTAAGTGTTTGTTTGGATGGGAGCCCCACCACTTGTACCTTGCATCCCTGGGAGGGGCTCCTGCCCACTCCCTCAGTTCCTTTCGACTGCCTCCATGCCTAGGATGAGCTAATAATTGCTGATCTGAGAATTATTACTGTTTTCTTACTCCTGGTGTTTTCCCCCAAATTAGATCTCATCTCTGAATGAAAATTTAGCAAGTTTTCTAGAGTTGTTTGTTTGTAAATTACAACTTTAATTTCTCTAAGATATCAAGATTTCATCCTCAGTTTGAATTTGTATGCAGCCAGTTAAAAATCCTAATGTGTACAGAGTTTTCTAGTGGATGCACAGTTTTCTCTGGCTGAAGTTTGCTGTGCAAATACTAATTGTCATTCTAGAGAAACAAATGGCATTTTTCTATATTTCTAGCCAAAGAAGAAGAAAAATATATCTCATGATGTCTTTGGCACAAAATATGGGCGGATACACATGCAGAAACAGGATCTGGAAAAATTACAGACAAGGAAAATGAAAGGTTTAAAGAAAAGGCCAGCTGAAAAGAAGACTGAAGATGGAGAGAGTCCAAAGAAACCAAAGCTGGGGTGATGGGATAGGACTGAACAGTACACTCAAGTTAGCTGCTGTTTGATTTTTTAACTCAAATAATAAACTTCTGAAATTTATTTTGAATAAGATTTCAGGCAAACTGTTCCTCTTTGCTATTCCAAATAATTGGGATGTTTTTAAAGGGAGGAAAATTCATATAGCTTCATTGTTTCATTTGGACAAGTTTCTTCTGATAACCATTTAGAAAAGTTACTTCCATAATAGCTTCCAGCCATTATAGATGGCCAGCGCTCTTCCTTTTACCTTTAGTTCTTGTCAGTACCTTTTCAACATGTTAATGTACATTTAAAAACACAGTACAGTTACTGACAGAGTGTGTTTGTACTCTGTATAATTTTTTAAAAATAAACCTTTCACATATTAGTCTCTGGGAAAACCTTGGCCTATTTTGTTATGGGGGGAAATAAAAATACATTTACTCAGACTGCTTGTTTTCAAGGTCAGAGTTTGGGGCAGATTGGCTCAAGGTTCTTATTGTGAGATAAGAAATAGTCTATAAACAAGGCATTTGGGGTTGTTTTTGCCTTCTTTTAGTTGTTGGTGGTGGTTGATTTCAGCTTCATACTCTGCCTAACTCTTCTTGCATCATAACCTGGTTGCAAATAATTAAATCTTTATTTTTAACAAGAACTTACTGAAAAAAGAATGAAATGGAAAAAAGTTTTACACATTGTTATTTTGGGAAATGTGATAATATAAATAGCTTTTTAAAAAAAGAAGCAAAGATGCCAATCTCTTCACATTTCTTTGTGATGCCTAATTTTCCACCCCACTCTCCCTCAACTCTGGTGGCTTACAGTTTCCCGGTTCAGGTTAGTTTGCACGTCTTGCTTTTGAAAGGTGCATCAGTTCAACTTTGCACATTACAGTGAAGAGCTGCTTCCTTGTGTTTCTAGAACATCACAAAGCCCTTCGCCACTGCTTTTTGAATTTAAGTAATGCGCACCACTGGGAAAATGTCATATAACATCTCTAGCTATGAATAAAAAGTGCGATTCCTGCCTATATGTGGAAGATGGAACCTTTTACTCAAAAATGACATCATTTCTTAAATTCATCACATTTTATTTGTTTGTTTGTTTATCTCATTCATTACATTCTCGTTACATTGACACAAGCATTCCATCGCTGCTCGCCTGTAAGCATTATAAATTTAGCTTCATAAGATACATGGTGGCTACCTAAATGAGTAGGCATATAAACTGTGAGTACAGAAAACGCACACATAAATGTAAGTAACTGTGAGGCATTATATGGAGCACATGAGGCATTAGGTGGAGCACAGTGAATACAGAATCCAGTCAGGTTAGGTGTGACCTACTGCCAAGCACGAAGCACTGGATAGAACTGGCACAGCAAAAGCAATAACCTCAGGACACGTGTGCACTATATTGACTTAAGTCCTTCAGTTTTAATGTGTCAAATGAATTGTAGCTTGGTGAGGTCATTCTGGACTCTGAATCTTTTTCCAAACACACACAGAAAACATGGGAGGTAACTCAGTCTCCCAGAACAGTCTGTAAAGTCATGGTTCTTCAGCAAAGTTGCTTCAAAGGGAGTCTGCGGCATTGCTGGAATTTACTGGCACATCTGACACTGTTGAAATTTGGACCCCGTAAAAACTCAGAGTGTCTATCCCACTGGAGAAAGTAATTGTCCATCTTGCAGTAGTGGGCCTGTCAGCCTGCCATGTTGCTTTCCCATTGAGGTTTCGTAAAAATGCTGAATGTTCACACTTAAAATGAATAATTCTTAAAAGGCACATTAATAAAACTCCCAGTATGCGTGTAAAACCACACTAAGCTCTTCATTTCTTAAGAGTGCCTGAGCTGAAGTCTCAATTCATTTTGTATCAGCTGTTATTTATGGCAGATTAGAGCTGTTAGGTAGAAAATTATGTAGGCTCACAGGGAGGTGACCTTCAGCTAAGAAAATAAGCAAAAGAGTCATTTCAATAATGAAAATCTGAATGTGTTCATTTATATTTACGGGTCTTATCTATATTGGGATCAACATCATGCATATCAGTCGGAATTGTTCCCAAGTAAATATGCACAGGATTGTGGATGACTTTCCAGACATTTAACAAGTAGTAGTAAACTGGCTGTTTGCTCTGGGATTACAGTGAGATATATTTATTTATTGTATAAGAGCTTATTCTTTGTTTTGAAAGGGAAGAATCTTGGAAACGTGAAAGGGAAAGTGTCTTTTCACAATGTTCCCAAAATTGATGCACTCTATTCCCTGCTGAAAAAGCTGTTAAACAAATTATTTGGCAACTGATATGATTTAATAATTGTATTTATTCATTTTGATAATACCCAATTTGTAATGGAACATATGGTACAATTCAGAAATGTTGATTACACTTGTCATTTATACTCATTATTTGGATTATCACAGACAACAGCTTTTTAATTCCTTGTTCCATTTCTTATTGTTCAGGCTATATTGAATAGTGGCATAACATTGGGAATTATTCCAACTTCCACTGGGCAATGAGCTCTTGAACAAGCTACTTACTGTGGTGCATGTTATACTGGCAATGATTTTTCTCCATTATTACACTTCTTGAATAGAATGCTTTTACTGCTCTGATAAAGTCACAAAGGGATCACATGGCGAGATTATGAATACAGCTTTATGAGCAGCGTTGAATATGCTCGGTTAATGAACTTGAACAAAATACTTAGATGTGCTGGTGATGAACTGGATGAGTTCAAATATACTGATTGCACTTAGATTTTTCCCTGATACAACAATATTTAATTTGGATAATGGAGGTTTCAGGCCAAGGGAGTGAAACAGTTTTGATGAAAGGTATGCTTTCTCCACATAAAATAAAGCATATTTTAAGAGCTAAAATAATGGACATAGATACTTCATACTAAAGCAGGTGGCACAGAAATTTTATTTGGCTTATTGGAAGTATTTTTATTTTTAGTTATTGAAAGTATTTTTATGCCACTCCTCAAAGATTCACAGAGCTGCTTACATATCGTCAATTAAAAAGACAGTCTCTGCCCGTAGACTCACAGTCTAAAAAGACACAACACACATGGAAAAAAGAGTGGGGATGGAATGAAAAGCAGGGATTATTTTAGCAAGGCTGATTGAATAGCCCTGCTTTCTATCTCACTACCCTCAGAACAACCGCCTGGAAACTGTGGCTTTAAGAATAGTGTGAGAGAAGCAGCTATAAGGTTAATCTTCCTCATCCATTTTGCCCTAATGTGGGTACACTATTAAAAATGTGGGTGGCAGGGGTGTGCGAGAGAACACCAAGATGCAAAGGAACAGTTGGAAAATATTTCATTTTGCTGATGTCCATGCTGAATCTAATTCATTCAGAGCTAGTTCTATTGGCTAATGTCACTGAGTTTAACATATTTTAATAGCAAACGATTTTGCTCTATGAAGGAGAAAAGGAAAAGAATTAACAGGATGAACTTTTAACCTGAATAAAATCAGCAAATAAAATCAGCTATTGTAGTACAGTTTGATCTGCTTGAAGAAGGAAGAGTGATGCATAATAATGAGACGCCACAGTTCTGTGCAGAAGTGGGTAAGCTTCTGTCTAAGTCTCTGTGTTTGATGTGTAGGCTTCTGTCTAAATGAAAATTATATCTGGAACTAAATTGAGAATATTTTAGTCTATCAAATGTCAAATTCTTACTGTCCAACGTTGTCAAATAAGCTTTGAACAGTCCGAGGGAGCTTCAGGCAAATTGTTATGAAAATGAAAAGCACTGTTCTACAGATAACCCTCTGCTAAAAGGGTTTTTCAGAGCTGGATCCCACATAATGCAAGCAGTGTATATTTTGTGACGTGACATGGGACCATAAGAAGAACTATGCTGCATTTGACTAAAGAGCCCTCTAATCTGGAGGATCAATGTAGTGTAGCAGTGAGACTGTGGGAATGGACTCCCAGGATGTGGGTTCTAGTCCCCACTCATCCATGTCACTGACTGGAGGAGTCTGAGCCAGTCAAGAAGTCTCAGCCTAACGTGCCTCAAAGGGCTTTTTTTGCGAGGATAAAATGGAGAAGAGTATCTTGTAAAGCACCTTGCATTCATTGCAGGAACAATCACAAGCGGGATGTAAATATAATAAATAAACTCTAGCCTGTTGCAGTTGTGCAGACAAACAACAGACCTCCCTGTTTAACCCTCAGCATCCAGCCCAGAATTCTGAACCTAAACTTTCTATTTAGCCATTATGGCTAATAGTCCTGGGAGAGACCAAACCCCCTTTCAAAGTTACCTAAAAGCCAAACTAAGCATTATGTAACATGATTTCATTTAAAACATCTCTGGGTAGCGGTGCTTTCTGCAACACAGCTGCAAAATGGAGCTATGGAGAAAGTGCTGTTAATTCTAATGCTATCAGGTATTCAGTGGGAGCCAATCACAATGTATTTCAATTGATAGCCATTAAAATGCAATCTCACATTTTATCTTCAGCAGTGTCCATTAGTTGGGCCTGTGGCAGCAGATTCATCTGCTACCGGAAGAACTTTCCGCTTTTTTTGGATCTATAACCACTAAATTTCACTGGATGAAAAGGATTTAATCTTATGAAGGAGAAAAAGTATTTCTACATTGTACATTATATATTATTTTATAAACTTGTGCCATGCCAGTCCTTAACTGCCTCCCCCCCCCCCAACTAAAAAGGTCAAAATACTTCCTTTTTAGGGCAGGTGTTTTACCACTTGACTATTCTGAGTGCTGTTTTCTATTTTTTTAGTTCTACAGTATTCATTCTGAGATAGGGTACCCAGTATATACAAATCTATTCCAAATGTGGATGCTGCATTGATTTATATAAAGGTATTAAAATATCGGCCATTTTATTTTCAGAACCTGTTCTAATGAATCCTTAGCACAGGCTTTGCCATTTTTTCAGCTTCTGCACCCTGGCTGAAGTTTGAATTGGGCTATCAAGATGACTCCAGGATCTTTCTGATTAATCACTGTGAATTTGAACCTGTCAGTGTGTATTTGACATCAAGATTGGATCTGAGGGGTGCATTACCTTACATGCACTTTTACCCTTTTGTAGCCTGCTTGGGTAAGCTCCTTTTCAAGAATTTCACAATCTGAAATGCTTAAATCATGTTGGGTTGTATCTGTAGGATATACCTGGCCAGCCAGCATTAAGCTGGGGTAGGTGGGTCACATCCCCAAGTGTTAACAGTGAAATTGGAGCCATCCACGTGGCTAGGGATTGGGCAATCCCTTGCCAGAGCTCCTAGCCTAACCTCCAGGTAGCCCAGATGCCGAGGTAAGCACAAGAACCACCTGTATTCAAATGGACCAATCAGCACTCACGGTGGGAATTTCAACCCACTGGACATC